CCCGTTTCACACTCACTCACTCCCTCACGCCCTCTTTCTCTCTCAATCATGGAGAAACTAAAAGAAACATGGCAAACTTGTGGAGATAAAGAGAGAATGGGTAAGGAGGTGATAGATGAAATGCTCAAAACCCTTCCCATGGAGAAAATCCCATATGGTTTTGATCTCTGTTTCAATGAAGGGTATTGGTATCCATCTGTGTTCTTCCATGGCATCATCGCATCTCAGCAACGCTTCAAAGGACAAGACAGTGATCTGATACTAATCACCTTACCAAAATCGTGCACAACATGGTTGAAAGCTCTCGCATTCACCATAGCAAATCGTAATAACTACCCTGTCAGTGAAAGCCCATTGCTCACCACAAACCCTCACGGCCTCGTCCCTTTACTCGAAGATGGCATCTACGGCAAGAACTCAGTCCTCAAGCTTGAAGACTTGCCTAGCCCTAGAGTCTTAGCAACTCATATGCCACACTCTGCATTGCCTACTTCTATTAAAGACTCTGATTGTCGCATTGTCTATCTTTGTCGAAACCCTCTAGATGTGTTCATCTCATTCAGACACTTTGCCGCTAAGTGTAGACACCTCATTTTTGACCGTCCTCAAGACTTGGGACATCATCGTTTGAACACTCGATGATCATCCTTGTTCGTGTTCGTCTTGAGTTCTCGGAGGTTTCGGTCGTGCGCCTTGCCTCAAGACCTCTCGACTTGTCTGTTTTGTGCTTTGTTGTGGACCAAACACTTGGGTTTTTGTCTCTGAGGGCAGGGAATGGCTTGTTGGCTACCCCCACACCTCACCGACTATTTCTTGAGGCCACCGGCCCTGTTTTCTTGCTACCGGCCAAAGCTATTGGCCGATCGGCAATGTTTTTGGTCGGCCGGCCATTTTGTTGATTAATCGGCCACTTTTTCTGGCCGAGACCTTTTCTTGAGAGGGTTTAAACCTTTTGAACCCTTGTTTTAGCTTCTTGAGGAAGCTTGAACCTTTTGAACCCTTTTTTTAGCTTCTCCAAGAAGATTGAACCTTTTTAGCTTCTCCAAGAAGCTTGACCTTTTTAGTTTCTTAGAGAAGCTTGACCCTTTTCTCTAAGCTTCTAAGAGAAGCTTGAACCCTTCTAAGCTTCCAAGAGAAGCTTGGCCCTTTGTTCTAAGCTTCTAGAAAAAGCTTGACCCTTTTTGCTCTAGCTTCCTCAAGAAGCTTGGACCTTTGCACAAGCTTCTTGAAGAAGCTTGGACCTTTGTTCTTCTATAAGAGAGGCCCTCCCTGTCTTTTAGAAGGGTTCCAAAAAAATTTTGCTAAGGCATACACATATATCTCTCTTTGTCTCTACACTTAGGCTTAGAAAGAGTGAAGTTCTTGGCGTCTTTGCACACCAACTCTTAGCCTAACACCTCCATCATCAACCTAAGGATCTTGGAGGCCATTTTCAGATGTTGAAGGTCTGATTTTTTGGTCTCAAAGCCGCTGGTTTTGCTGAAGCTACAAGGGTAACACACTATTCCCTCTTTTAAGCTTTATTTTGCTCCATCTTTTAGCCATACTTGCAAGCATATTTGGGCTTTGTCATAAACTGAAAAAAAGTCTTATTTTGAACTCCTTTTGAAGTTTGTTTAAGATCACTTTTGTGTTTGGGGTTGTTTACCCCCTCTTAGGCCTTGTTTGGCCTCTTTTTTGTGCCTTTTTTGTGAGCTTCGGGACCACCTTGTATTGGCCCTCTCACCACCGAAATCCAAAGGAATTTTAGTGGTGGGGATGGTGTTTTGAGGTCCTAAGAAGGAGAGGGTCATCCCCTCTCCTTGTTGTCTTGTTTGTTGGCATTTTTGGCCTTACAAAGGAGCCCATATTTGCACACTTCTTGAGCTCAGTTCAGGCCTTTTCCAGTGAGTTTTAGGGCCTGCTTGAACTCTTTCCAGAGCTATTTTTGTAATTTAAGGCTTGCCTCTTGCATGTGTAGAGCAACCCCCTTCATAGCTTTTCAAAGTAGCACCTCATTCTTGCATGTATTGGACACAGTTCAGTGGGTATTTGGTCATATTTTGGCATGCCATGAATCTATTTTTGGCTGGTTTGGTGGTCCCTCATATGCTCCATATGCTTGTAGTGTAAACCATGCTTACTAGCTTACATTGCATGTTATTTTGGCCCTCCATTCTAGCATATTTTGGCCATGCCTTAAATCTTGATCAATCATGATAGAGGTTGGGGCCCTTTATGTGTTTTGTGCATTTCATTCCATATTGAGTTGCACACTTGGCTTCTTTGGCCAACATGCATTGAAATACGTGATTGATGGTCCGAGGGTCGAAAACCATACTCCTTTGAGTCTTAAACATGATAAGGAGGGTGGTTGTGCAAACATTGCTTTGAAAATGCATTGCCATGCTCTGTTTGCTCTCTGCTGCAGCAAAACAAGATTTTGCAGGAAGAGATGGCCGGTCGACCATCTTTAGTGCAGGCCGGCTACGTATTTCTGGCCGAAAGCCCAACTCATGGTCGATGACCTGTTTCACCTGGCCGGTGGTCCCATCTCATGGCCGATGGCCTCTCAGCATGTCCCCAAGATGTTTCAAAGGTGTCACAGAGGTTGGCACAGTTTAAAAAAGAGCAGAGCAGTGTAAACAAAGGCAACTGTGGCATGGCGATGGATTTCCGAGCAAAGCCGACCGAGCATGCGTGCATCCCTCTTCCCGAGGCTGTTTTACTACTTTAGTAGATTAATTGATTTGTCAATTAGTTAAGGGTTTTGTAATAATTAATTAGCTTGTTAGTTAGTTAATTAGTTAATCAATAATATTTATTCGGACCCTCCGAGAGAAGGCAATGTTGTAAAAAGTGTGCGTGTGTGTGATGGATGTCTTCCAACCCCACGTTTTTCTCCCTTTTACTTACCTACTTTGATGGTTAGTTCTAGGTCATGTTTTGATTAGCATCCTTATGCTATGCATGCGTGCATCCATTCATTTGTATTGCATGCACCGGGCTCGGCGCATCATACTAACTGCATTGTATTTCAATTCCGAGTTGAATACATGTTATTTGTCGCATTTCACATGCCATCTTTAGATTAGCTGAGCCTATTCTAGTTGCATCTCGCATGTGTTGCATTAGCCATCTAAACATGGACTTGGATCATACATTGATTGCTAACATGTTCTTTGTTTTTTGCTCGGAGTACACTGTGAGTGTTTTTGCTTTAGCATCTTGTATGTATGTGAGTATTAACATGAAAGCATGCTTTACCATGAGGCTAATTGCTTATTTGATATAACTGCCTGAATGCCTGTGGGTGAAGGTTGGGTTGCTTGAATTGGAACAATTCGTCGAAACCCGTGTTTTAGTCTACTTGCGAGTACCAAACTTCAATCTATTTTCAAAACAAACGGATATGCGATGCTTTGTTCCAAATTAGGCAATCTAGTCTATACTTGTATGCTGTGTGCATCATATAGTAATTCTAGGCTAATAAACCGGAATAAGAGCACATAATGTTTTCAAAAATCGATATCATGTTTAGTAGAGGCTGATCTTTGATCGGGCGAGCGGGGGTGCTCATAGTTGACCTTCCCCAATCGTACCTAAGTTCCCGAGTCGAGGCAACTTTGGTGATGACGGACACGTGGCCTTAGGCACGAGTTAGGGTTTCCTAAATTCCCCCAAAATAAAATATTTAGGTGGCGACTCTGTATCTGGCAAAGCAGTCCATGTTTGGCACTTCTTTCTAAAAATCTGTTTTCCAGAACGATTTGCTGGATTTGGACTCTTTGGTGATTTATCAGTCTTACATTGCACTTTGCGAGATTAGATTCAGAACCGTGACATTTGAGTTCGAACTGTAGTAAGCCCCAAATGAACAAAACGGGGGATTTTCCCCCGGGACGTTCGGGACGTCTACACTAAGCTTTCAAATACTTCGATCCAAGCTTGATAGCGGAAAGTTTCGACATGTTCTGTCGTGGTGTGACCACATATGGGCCGTTTTGGGATCATGTGTTGGAGTACTGGAAGGCAATCCAAGAGAGACCAGGCAAGGTGTTGTTTTTGAAATATGAAGATATGAAAGAAGACCCCATTTCTCACCTCAAAGTGTTGGCTAAGTTCATGGGTTTACCTTTCTCTGTGGAAGAAGATAACCAAGTGTTAATTGAGGAAGTATTAAAGCTATGTAGTTTTGACAACTTGAAAGATTTGGAAGTGAACAAGAATGAAAAATATAAAACTGGACGTCCGAATAGTATGTTCTTTAGGAAAGGTGAGGTAGGAGATTGAGCTAATTATCTTACTCCTTCCATGTTTGAACGCATGAACAAGCTCATGAAAGAAAAAATTGATGGCTCTGGTTTGAACACTACAAGAAATTTCACTTTTGGCGACTAAAATTTTAGTCGCCAAAAGCCTTGTTTTTAGTCGCCAATTATTTTTGCCGACTAATATATTTAGTTGCCCATTTGGTCGCCTATAGTTTGTCGGGGAAACAATCGGCAACTAAAATTTTTTTGTAGCCAAAAGTGGCCTATTGGCGACTAAAACCTTGGTCGCCATATATATTTTTTTAGTCGCCATATGTTTTTTTAAAAAAATTAAATATATAAATATATTTACTTTTAGCAACTAAACTATTTAGTAGCCAATTGAGAATGTATGTTTGGCGACTAATTATTTGGTAGCAAAAAATTTTACTTTTTGAGAATTGGTGACCAAAATTTTAGCAGCCAAAAGTTTCTTTTTTACAATTGGCGAATAACAGTTTAGTAGCCAAAAGTTTCACTTTTTTACAATTGGCGGCTAAAGTTTTGGTAGCCAAAAGCCAACACGTGACATTTGTTTAGTCACCGAAAGGTCTTATTTAGTTTTTATAATTTATTCTATAATATTTTTTGCACCACCTATAACCTATGCATATACAAAATTATTCATCTCTTCATTCATTCATTCAATTCTTAACCATTCAATAAAAATATTTCTCCATAACCTGTACTATTCAATTTTCAACCACATACAAAACTTAACTATTAACCATACATATCAAACAAAATAAAAATCCATAAATATAGTATTATCCAACAAATACATATACTATCCAAACCAACAATTAAAATCCAAATTAAAGAAAATCTTAATTACAATTGTGGTGATGATGCTGATGTTGATGCTAGAGACATTGTTGTTGGGCTGAAGGTCCTTTCACAATTGTTCTTCATCAATTTGTCACTTGGATGTTCAGGTTCTACATCATGACGAGAATGACAGTTTAGAAAATAAATTGAAATTGTTAAGTAAGGACAATAATAGTAAAAAGAAAAGAGCAACACACACTTGTGTAGCTTGAAACCAATTCATGACAATAATAGTAAGGACCAAACCAACAGTATATCCTAGAAAAGCACTCTTGAAATACTGGTTCTCTTTCCCCTTGCACACATCGAAACGCAATGCCAATGCTACAAAAATACCTGAAGGTGAAAAAGGTGTGTAAGAATATACAACACCCAGTGTGTAAGTTTCATAGATTAGGACACATAATACATATGATTACATAATAAAACCATTAGCAAGTAAAAGTATGCACCAAGAAATCAAATAAAAAATATCATCAGTAATATATATAATTTTCATGATTCAGGGGAAAGTTTTTTCCCCTATGTTACAGGATGTAGGGGAGTTGCCATGCTCTCTCTCATACAAGGAAAAGCATGCCAGCCACTTGGTGATTTTTACTTGCATTGATTGCTACCGCGAAGTCATAGTCAAAGGAGAAATAATTCTAATGATATGCACATATTACATAATCAGCGCTTAACGTCAACAATCAGAATCGAGGAACCTAAAGCCGATCAGAATCAAGGAACCTGAAGCCCCGACTTTCTTCTCACATATATGTCAATGCAATGGCAGTCTATGTTCTATACTTAAATCTCCTTGTAAACTACATAGTAAGATTCTATCGAAGAATGCCACAGCACGAGGAGATGTTGATCAAAAATCCATAACAAAACCAGATCAAACAATCCTACAAGTGCTCATAATCCAAATCATAATTGCATGCAGTTGACATACCTAAAAAATAGTGTGTGCCTCAAGTAATGAAGCTAAAGAAATGCAGTGTGAAAAAGGCATGAATTTCAAGCATATCATGCACAGCATTGGAAAACAATGATCTGACTACATTTAATGATTAAGGCAGATATGCTTTAAAATTTATATATAAACAAATCCAGACGACAGTGTTACTAAAATTTGTTGAAAAGAATGTGAGATTAATTAAATTTACAACAACAAATGCCCTGTAAATTCACACAGCCTGACAACAAACTCTTAAAATTTATCAAGTAACAGAAACAGAACTAATCGTGGCCAACGTTTAGGGAAATAGATTTTTTTTTTTTAAAATTCAATTTGAACATCACACTTAAATATATGAGGTATGAAACAGATCCAACAATCACAACATACCAGAATGTTAGCACCAATACTAGTTCCAACAGCAAATAGAGGAGCCTTGGCATATTCATGATGAAGATAATGAATAACTTCACTTTTATGAATCCAACAAGTTAAAGTAGAGTTTTTCCCCTTTAAAATAATCCCACAAGATGTATAAATAGGTCCCTTACTAATCCTAGTTTAATCCTTAAAGTAAACCTTCAATCCAAATTCAACAAAAAATAAGACAAACAATCCCAACCAATTTCATTACAATTTTTGATTCACAAATTGAATGTTGCATATTTATATTCTCAATCTCATCATTAAGTCATTGAACAGGGTACTTTGAAAAATGGAAATGTAATTGCAGTGAAGAAACTAGCAATATAATTCAGCAATATTCTACTAGATGATGATTTCCAACCCAAAATAGCTGATTTTGGATTGGCAAGGCTTCTACCTGAGGAACAAAGTCATCTTAGCACCAGATTTTCCGGGACCTTGTAAGCACAAAACCAACCATTTCTCAGCTTATTAATCCCTATGTTCAATGTTGAGTTTCAAATCTTTTAATGGTTTGCATATCTGATATTCCATATCTTTGAAAAGATACCTAAAAGAACAATGTAGAGGCTATTTTGTGAGTGATATACATCCATAATTTTTGTAACATAATGGATTGCATTAGAGCCTATTTTGATTCCTAATTGAAATTAAACCAGTGATATGTTTTCATGTAACAAATCTAGTACTACTAGTAAAATATTTGAAACCATTGAATGATAACTAACTACTTTTTCATGCAACAGGGGTTATACAGCACCGGAATATGACATCCATGGATAGTTGTCTGAGAAGGTTGATACGATAGCTTCGGTGTTGTTGTCCTTGAAATCATAAGTGGCCAAAAGTATAATGAAATGAAGGTCGAATCTGCTGTAACATAATGGATTGTATTAGAGCCTATTTTGATTCCTAATTGAAATTAAACCAGTGATATGTTTTCATGTAACAAATCTAGTACTTCTAGTAAAATATTTGAAACCATTGAATGATAACTAACTACTTTCTCATGCAGCAGGGGTTATACAGCACTAGAATATGACATCCATGGACAGTTGTCTGAGAAGGTTGATACGTATAGCTTCGGTGTTGTTGTCCTTGAAATCATAAGTGGCCAAAAGTATAATGAAATGAAGGTCGAATCTGCTGAATTGTTCAACAAAAATAGAACTTTTCATCTTAAAACACAAACAACTTAAAAGTACAGAACTTGTTCATCTTAAAAAAAAATCCTATGCATCAAAAAAATTCAGCAAATTACTATGTATCACAAACCAATTTTCAAACAGAGCATTAGTATCAATAGATTGCTCCAACAGATTACTATCAAGCAGATTAAAATTGCCAGCAAAAAATTGCTCAACCATCTGCATCAATCTTGCCAGCAGAAAATTGCTCCAGCAGATTACTATCGAGTACATTAGTATCAATAAAAACAATTAACAAAAATCCACAAAACTACACAATTAAAATTGAACCAGCAGATCATTCCTATGTATCATAAATCAATTGTTAAACAGTTGGTGAGCAAACTAGAGATGCTTTGGAGTCCATATATACTTAAACAATTCATTTCTACATGTCACAGACCAAATGTCGAACAGTTGGTGAGCAAAAAAATTATAGATGTGAACAAAAAACAACTTGAAGAAATCTGGCCTAGCAAGATTGAACAAAAATCCAATTAAAAATCAACATAAACAACAAATTTGAGCAGATTTTTTTGAAAACAATTAAAAATATGTTTTTCTATTTAAAACTGTTGCCAAATAAAAATAAAAACAACGACAAACTTGGCCATCAAAATCTTGCAAGGAACAAAGAGAATTACCTGCAATTTATGTTGAATTTTTGTTTGGAGAACAAACTGATGAGGAGAATAAAGAGAGAGAGAGAGAGAGAGAGAGAGAGAGAGAGAGAGAGAGAAAGAGAGAGAGACATTGTATTGAAGAAGAAAAAATAGTTTTTTAATATCTAGACAGACTTCAACCCTCACTAGATGCAACGAGGCTTTCGTACTGCTACTATTCTGGCCCGGCAAGTAGCGAGACTGGTGGAGTGACTTTTCTTGCAAATCCTTTGCCAAGTTAGCTAACAAGTACGTTTGACGCATCTGATGGAGATGCTCTAAGTAATCCACTCATCAAAACTAAAAATCAAAGAGAAGGCAAGAATAGAGACAACTTAGACTCCAATTTCTTGGATTATCTTAATCAGGGTTTCGAATTACCCAGACAAAAGGAACATCTGATGACGAAAAGGTAATTTAATGTTAGAAAGGGGTTTGATTGGTTGGTGGGTTTGGCTGGATCCTTCATTTTCGTAGACTTCAATTGCAAAATTACAAGCCCTAGAAACAAAGGGGGAGAGAGAGAGAGGTGCGTATATAAATGAGAAGGCTATCGACTTGTTGCTTCACAGGCCGAGTATTTTATATAGATGGTTATTAGCGACTAAACTTTTTTAGTCACTGAAAGTATTTTAGAAATCCCTCCAAAATATTTGAAATGTTCCCTCTAATAATTTTAGTTCTTTGGTGACTAAAATTATTTTTCGTCGCTGAAAATAAACATTTGGCTACCAAAATTTTGGTCGCCAAAGGTAAAAAATAATTTTTTATTTTCTATTCAGCGACTAAATGGTTTAAGTAGTCAAAACTCAATATACGGCTACCAAAATTCTTTTTTGTCGTTGAAAAATAACTTTTGGCGACTAAAATTTTGGTCACCAAAAATAAAAAACAATTTTTATTTTTCATTCGGCGACTAAATGGTTTTAGTAGCCAAAACTCAATATACGGTGACTAAATTTTTTTTTGGTCGCCAATTCTAGCATTTTTTGCAACTAAATTTTTTTTTAGTCGCCAATAACCAATATACCCCGACTAAAAAAAATTAGTAGCTAAATGCTTTACTTTTTCCGACTAAAAAAATTTTTGGTCGCCATTTCTACAACTTTTGGCGACTAAATTTTTTTTGGACACGAATTTTGGTCGCCAAAGGTGCATTCTGTTGTAGGGGAATTTCAATTTTCTCTTAAATATTTGAGTTGTTTTCATAATGTAGTATAATTTATTTACTATCTCATGTATTGTAATTTCATTAGCTTAATAATACAATAATGACCTAAAGTTTTTTGGAAACTTCAAGTTGAAATCTGAAATTTTTTGGATTTTCTTTCTTGATTGAGTCACCTTTGATTGCATGTGGTCCATATCTAATATCAAGAAAATGGCTCTGTTGGGTTTAATTTTTAGAATTTTCTTTTTAAAGAATTAAAATTTAATTTGGTAAAAATAGTAATAAAATATTCATGACTTTCATATAGATTTATTTTTTGGATGGTAAAAATAATTTTTAAAAATTCAAAAATATTTTTTTTATAGTTATCTTTATCAAATTAGTTTAATTTTTATTTTTAGAAAAAATAAATCAGAAAATAATTTGTGAAAATCAAACCAAACGAGGCGAATGTTTTATAAGGATAACTGTGGGGGCCGAATAATGGGGATCGTAAAGAGGCCAAATGGCTAAACTTGGAGAGTTGGAATATAAATATATTATTCGGCTTCGTCCCGCAATTTCAAATCCTACCCTATTCGGTCAAAAGGCTGGTTGGGTAAGGGGCCAAGTGAAAAGTAGTTTGCTCTAAAAGAAGCCGAATGGCGAACTAAAGGTGGGCCAAGCCCTGAGGCCCAAGAAAGAAAATATATAAATAGAAGAACATCATCCAGAAGGAGGTACGTCAGAACCATTACACTTAACTTAAAATACAAGTAATTCAGAGAGTACAGACTGACTTGCCGGTCGGAGTGCTAATTCCGGCACCCCCGACCGAAGTGTTAATTCTTTTTCAAGTGGCTAGCTGAGGATTATGAGCGTCCCCCAAGATCAGAAGAGTATTTCCAAACCATCTCCCCACAGTTGGCGCCGTCTGTGGGAATACTCAAATACATCCATGGTAGGCGTAACAGAAGACCCTCCAATAGTCACTGATGAAACCACGCAAAGAGACGACCTCACTCCAACAAACATGCTTGGACCGGAGACTATCGCCGCAAGACATGCCTTGAACTTCGCCTCACCCTCGAATTCAGAGCATGAGACAATGCAGGCGATCATGGAATAAGCAAAGCAAAATGAACAGAGGTTGGAGAACATGATTGCTGAGAACGAACGTCTCCGTCAAGATTTGGCCTTAGAAGTGGTGAAGTCCAAACAAACTGTACGCCTAAATCCGGAACGACCTCCAAAGGCAGGTGGTCGACGACCTCGAGCCCGACAAGATGACACTGATGGCGACTCCGACTCATTATCCCCGGAGCCCAAGAAGAAGGGGCGACCTGAAACTACTAGTTCTTCTGAAGAGAATCCCCGCATAAGGCATAAGCGAAGAAGAAACAGTTCAGATGAAGATCAGCACGATCCCTTCGCACGACGGATTGCAAAGGCAGTGCTACCCAAGAAATTCAAAGCACCATCATTCACCTTGTACGACGGAAAATCAGACCCCACCGATCACATCCGCCATTACAAGCAAGCCAGAGCCCAAGAAGAAGGGGCGACCTGAAACTACTAGTTCTTCTGAAGAGAATCCCCGTATAAGGCATAAGCGAAGAAGAAACAATTCAGATGAAGATCAGCACGATCCCTTCGTACGACGGATTGCAAAGGCAGTGCTACCCAAGAAATTCAAAGCACCATCATTCACCTTGTACGACGGAAAATCAGACCCCACCGATCACATCCGCCATTACAAGCAAGCCATGACGCTGCACGCAGATGATGAGGCCTTGATGTGCAGGATATTTCTGAGCAGCTTGGGACTACTAGCTGTCAGGTGGTATTATAAACTGGAGCCAGCTTCAATTAAAACCTTCCACCAACTCCAAAAATCCTTCAGGGCAAGGTTTATCACTAATGAGGTCCAGCCAAAGCAAGCCGATTCCCTCTGGGCAATGCAGATTCAACCGGGGAAAACCCTTTGCTCCTATTCGGCACGGTATTGGGAATGTTTCAATTTGGTAGACGATGCTTGCAATGACTCCATGGCCATCACCGCCTTCAAGATGGGGCTGCATCCCGACAGTTCCCCCCGCAGTTCTTTGACCAGACAGCTCCCCAAAACAGTTTGGTCATTGATGAAGAAAGTTGAAGAATACTGTAAAGTGGAAAATGATGCCTTGAGGGTTAAAGCCGGAAATGTGACCAACAAGACGGCTCATGCTGAAATTGCTCAGCCGTTAAATTCTATCTCACCTCAGAGCCTTGAACCACGGTATCGGGTGAAACGAGATAAGAAACGAGATTCTCGCCGATCAAGCGACCAATGCTCCCACCGAGTGAATGAACAGCTGCAAATCGACAGCAGGCGCACACAGCGCACCGACAAGAAATATACTGAGTTGTTAGAACCGATCAGCACGGTCATGTCCAAAATCCAACATCTTCCGTTCTTTAAGTGGCCATCAAAGATGGTGGGACCTTCTGACACTCGAAGACGGGATAGGCGGTGCGAGTATCACAAGGATCATGGCCATGAAACTGAGAGTTGTTATGTATTGAAGGATCACCTGGAGGAATTGGTACAGGATGGTCGGCTACAACAATACGTCCGCAAGGGCAACTCAACTAAAGCAATAGCCTTGAGACAGGATTCCCCTCTACTCGGCGTGATCTACATGATATACAGCCTGCCAATTTTATCCGCGGTGCATACGATTCAGTCGACTCCCGACCATCAAAGTCAACTTACTCCACGGCCCCATGAAGCTGCAAGCATTTCTTTTGATGATTCGTAACTGGCCGGAGTGACACTTCCTCACATCGATCCCTTGGTAATTGAGTTACGCGTAAATCAATTCATCGTTGAATGCATACTCATTGATCCGGGGAGCACATCAGAGGTTATGTATTACAAGACATTCACCAAACTCGGCTTCTCAAAATCAAATCTCTCTTCGGCTCCTTATCCATTATTCGGCTTCAACGCCAATCCAGAATATCCATTGGGAAAAATCACACTACCAGTTTGAGCGGGCTCCTGAACAATGGATGTGGAATTCTTGGTCGTCAAGCTACCATCACCGTATAATCTCATTATGGGGCGATCCTGGTTGCATGTTATGCAGGCCGTACTAAGCACCTATCATCAGCTGCTACGCTTCCCCACAAAACGCGACATTGAGCAAATCCGTGGCTCTCAAAAATCGGCACAAGCATGTTATCTCCTTGCTGAAAAGACGTCAAAAGAGTTGCAGGTGAACTCTATTGAGGTAACAGATCGCGAGAGCCTTGACGACGTTGGGCGGTTCCTAAATGAAAAGTCCAAGGAAGACCTAGATTGAGTTAAAATCAACGGCAACCCAGACAGGTTCTTCATAGTCGGTGCCTCCCTTAATCAAGCCGACAGACAGCAGCTAATTTCCTTCCTTCTTGGCAACCTTGATATTTGCGTGGACTCCATATGAGATGCCGGGTGTGGATCCATCTGTGTCACAACACCGTTTAAATGTTGACCCTAAATACAAGCCGATCATTCAGAAAAGCCGGCGATCAGCCGCAGAGCACACTGCCGCAGTTGTTGAAGAGGTCGACCGGTTGCTTAACGCCGGGGCGATCAGGGAAGTGACCTACCCTACATGGCTCTCTAATACTGTGGTTGTGAAGAAGAAGAAGAAGAATGGGACCTGGCGAGTCTGCGTTGATTTCACGGACCTAAACAAAGCTTGCCCTGAAGATTGTTTTCGTCTCCCAAGCATAGACCAACTGGTAGATGCTACAGCACGTCATCAGCGCATGAGCTTCCTCGATGCCTACAGAGGCTACCATCAAATTGCCTTGAATCCGGAGAACCAAGACAAGACTGCATTCCTCACCCCAAGAGGAACCTATTGCTACAAGGTTATGCCTTTTGGGCTGAAGAATGCAGGGGCAACTTACTAGAGATTAGTCACCACCATGTTTAAAGAGCAACTTGGCACACTATGGAAGTATACATTGACAACATGGTGGTCAAATCCAAGGAAGAGCAGAATCATATAGCCGATCTAGAGGAGACATTCGACATTCTACGCAAATACAAAATGAAACTGAATGCTTCCGAATGTGCGTTTGGGATCGGCTCTGGCAAGTTCTTGGGTTACATTGTCAACCACCGTGGAATCGAGGCCAACTAGAGGCAAATCGCAGCAATCTTGGAACTCGGCTCCCCTCGTTTGGTAAAAGAGGTTCAAAAGTTGATGGGGATGGCCGCCGCACTCAACAGGTTCATTAGTCGGTCTATAGATCGCTGACGACACTTCTTCCATACACTACGGCAAGACAACTCTTTCGAATGGTCCGCCGAGTGTGAAGCCGCTTTCAACGGTCTCAAAACCTACCTTTGATCAGTTCCCCT